ATAAACCCATCACAAAGCTTTCTTGGCAGAATTTGTACAGGGGGAGATGATTTTGGTTATTTCTGAGATTGAGAGAGTCTGACTTGCCCAAGGTCTTCCAAAGGATTCCATTGGCTAAGTGAGTTTTGTAATGTAGTCCAACACTCAGAGCAATTACACCACACTAGCACTTATGCGTATTAGCATACATTAAACTATCTTTTCTTTTCTTTACATATTCAGAAAATGTTTCATTTTCTGTGAAGAGGATAATTTTGATATTTCAAATGGAAGCTTTAAGAGACATATAAATACTATAGCTTTATCTGTTGAAGGAGTGGGGAAGAAAACATCTCACAGCGATTTTCTATACTATCTTCTGAATGAATACTGAGGCTTGTAATCAAGTGAACATTAACCAAATTGATTTTCCAATGTTTTGATAGTTTCACAGGTACCGGCTTCACATTAGCTTATTGCTTCTGCAGTTAGTCAACCATCACCTACCTCCACCCAGAATACACTCAGGTTTTTCTGCCCTCCAGTTGTAACATTATGCTCTATTCTATATTCTTAAGCTTGTAGCTAACAACACCCCATTAACATTAATATCTAGGGTATTTAGAACCTCCTTCCCACAATGAGACTATATGAAGGAATAGAGGTATATCCGTTGGCCTGCCTAATTCTATTATTCACAGTAGCAGAGGGTCTTGTCAGGGGATAAAAGTAGATCTCAGATTCTCTGGAATGCACATAACCTCAAAGATGAAGCACTAATAGCTGTAATATATGTGACTGTGTATTCTGAAACATAACAACTTCATGGAATGCCCTGAGGATGAATCAACAGTGATACTGGCAGTTATCCTTTCCGCACTATCACCATTACAACATCTATGAATAAATCCAACATGCAAGGTTTACAGAAAGAATGAAATAGAGGATATGACTGTCCAAATCTGAGTAATGGCTATTGATTGTGGCCATTGCTAAAATGATTTTAACGTCCATAACTAGTATTACTATAGAGTTACAACTGCGCTCTTTTGAGTGTACTGCTTGGCGCAACAACTATTCAAGAAAGGTCTTTCTAAGGGCTTGCCTACACTAGTAAAAACCTCAAACAAACCACTCAAATGGAAAGCTGGTTGTCTTCATCACAAACAGCTACTTCTGATGATTATCCTGTAGGCTTTTTTTGTTTTTGTTTAAAGTTGAGACATACTCCAGAGTTTCCTTTAAATTCCAAAGTATTGTGTGGCTTCAGGGCAGATGGGCAGCTAGATCAAGTCCAATTTGGTCCAATCAGTTCTCCATTCTAGACAGCAGAGCCACCATGCTTCCTTTGTGCTTATTTGTGCAAAGGAAGAGATGGATCATGGTTGTGCCACTGCCACTGTTCCCAACTGGCCACAGAGCTGTATGTGAGCTTCTGGCCATCATGGGCATCTTTGTTGAAATCAGAACAGGGCACACAAACAACCACCATGAAGGAGGAGGTGTAGTTCCCCATTCCTTTTCCCTGATTGCACAAATGTCCTATTCTTACATTGGCAGAGGCATGCATGTGACCAGGAAATCTCCTCTCCTTCTTCCTGCTCAGGTCTCCTCTGATGATGTCAGAAAAGAGCAGTCATGTGATCAAGAAGAAGGAGGGGGAATTGTCTGAAATGGTTAGGTGTCTGAAGAGGTGTCTGAAACGGTTAGGAGCCTGCATGAAGCTCCATAGCCAGCTAGAGATGGTTGCAGCATGGAGGAGGTAAGATGTGTGCCAACCCCATAGTGCCACTGTGTTCCTTGTCCATGTCAACAATGGTTCCAGATTTGATATGAACATACTGGATTTGGGAATGCTGCAAGAATATTTACACTGAGCTAAAGTGACCAATGTAGATAAACAAATAATCAGTAAATAGCTTGAGATTTGCTAATGTTCCTTTATGCATATATTTTCAAGTTATCTCACAGTACTTTCATTTTGGGAGGAAGTAATTACATGAGTAAGTTGGTTATCAAAGGTTACTTGATATTTGGAGAAATGAATTTTATTGAATTATTTCGCTGTTTCTTGGAAATTAACAATTGACCAAGTGAAATGGATTTTTTGCACTCTTTTGATTGCTAACATATTAATTTTGGAATGATTTTCTTTTGGCTGTAATCCAATGGATAGACCTAACAATGTTTGAAACATTTAAAAGAATGATGTATAAACAAAATTTATAGAAATGTATGAATATTGCAGTTATTTTTCTTCTTTCATGTTTTTCTTCTCCTGCTTTTGTTATACTTGAACATTATTGCATGTAAATAAAATCCCATTTGAATGTAAAAATCTCTTAAATAGAATAATAAAACAAACAAAAAGTGGGGTTCCATTCCAGCCTCCAGAGTCCAGAAGCAGCTGATGAGAAAGCACTAACTCATATCTCAACTTACTGTGACTGAAGATGGTGGAACTCAGAAAAAAATGCCTTTTCTGAGGGTCTCTAAGTAGGGCAGGCTAATATGAGGGCACAGGTTCTGTCAGACAATCTGGATCTAAGGCGTATAAGACTTCATAGGTCATAACCAACACTTTAAAATGTGTCCAGAAATGGATTAGCAATCAGTGAACATGTTGTAACAAGGGAAATGTATGGTCCCAATTCTAGTTAACAGTCTGGCTGGAGCTCTCTGTACCAACGGAAGTCTGAATACTCTTCTGGCAGTCCCATACAGACATGTGGGCAAATGTCAGAGTGCTGGAAGAAACAAAGATTATCAGCATTGAAGTGATGTTCTTACGCCATTAACTCTGCTGGACTGGCCACTTTGTCCAAATGCCTGATCACCCTCTCCCAAAGCAGTTACTATACTCCCAACTCAAGAATGGAAAACAGAATGCTGGTGGACAGGAAAAGATATTTAAATATCGGCTTAAAGCTAACCTTAAAAACTGTGGCATAGACACTGAGAACTGGGAAGCCTTGGCCCTTGAACGCTCTTGCTAGAGGTCAGCGTGACCAGCAGTGCTGTAGAATTTGAAGAGGCATGAATGGAGGGAGAAAGGGAGAAACAGGTCAAGAAGAAGGTGCATCAAGCCAACCCTGATCGGGACCGTCTTCCACCTGGGGACCAATGTCCTCACTGTGGAAGAACGTGCGGATCAAGAATAGGGCTCTACAGTCACCTACGTATCCGTCGCCAAGACACTACACTTGGAAGGCCACCATACTCAGACAATGAGGGATCGCCTAAGTGAAGTAAAGTAACAGAACCTATTGAGACTAATCCAAACTGGATGTAACTGAGACATGCGCTATGAAAACCAAGCATTTTAAGGAATGTCCACAGTTGGTATGATCAGCTTTAAATCTATGCAAGAAGTTCGGTCCATTGCAGAAACTTGCTCCTTCAGACTTAAAGATGAATCCACAGCTACACCTAGATGCGATTGCATTCATGGGTGAATGCAATCCCATCTAGCAGAGGCTGTGTGTGTGTATGTGTAGGTTTTAAGATAATTTGGGGTATACTGAAGCCCACCTGAATGCTTAGAACTGCTCTGTCAATTTTACTTTCTGTGCAATTACAAAATTCTGAATGAACGTGCAAATTAATGATAATAATATTGGGGACTTGCATGTCCCATCTGTGTTTTCCATCTGCTTTTTAGAAATAGCAATATGTGAAGGGCAAAGCATAAAAAGAATTCTTGTCTTCCTGATGTATTTATGCTTTGGCAAAATGTGTAGCTAATCTTTTACGTACAGAAACGGGAAGAAATATTACCTTTACTGCACACATCTATGATTTTTTTTAAAAAAGGTTTTTAAGACATCATAGTTACAACAAAGTAATGAATGGTTGTGTAAACAAACAGGGCATGCCAGCGAGTAAGTGGTCAATGCTCAAATGCCAAGTTGGAGAAGATGGCTGTTTACCAAAGCATTCCAAAAGCAAAATGCTATTCATGTTTGCTTAGATGTAAGCCACACTGAATTCAATATGATCTTCTAAGAGGTAAGGATATATGACTCCAGTACAAATTTCCTCCAAAGGTCTCACTAGAATAATAGAATTTAAAAGTTGTAAAGTCTTATTCCATGCTTCAAGATGGTCAATTCTCACAGTATACCAGCACTTATTGTTAGGAAGTCCTTTTGAATGCTTGGTAGAATCTTTTTTCTTAAAATTTGAATCCACTAGAAATTGTAGTTTGCTGAGGCACCAGAACTTTTTGGCACAGAAAGCCAAAGTCTTTTGATATTGAGCCATTGCAGTTAAAATTGCATCAAAGTTCATTAATTCTACAGTGTGGGTGCACTCTTAGTGGAGTGCCATGGTTGCTGTACAGCAGCCATACAGCATGATACAAAGTCTTGATAATATGAGTTTGTGACAGAAACCTTTCAGCAAAGCTGATAATAAATCAAATACCTTTTAAGTTGGTTGACACAAGAATAGGAACACAGTACAGAAGAGTGACATATTGCACCTACAATATATCATAATTCAGATAAAAATCTCCTAAACACTTTCTTCAAGGTCAGTTGACAATCATGCTTTTTCCTTAGGATTTTCACCAAAATAATTTTGCCTGAATTTGACTACATTTGATGATGGATGATGGAATGTGTATTTGTTGGGATTTTTTTTATCACACAGCAGCTTTGTGATTGTAATCTCAGTACCAAAGCACACTAACAGAGCTGAGCCAGGATGTTTATCTGTCTGAGGTAGAACAGAACATGGTGCCTTCCATTAATCCAACTCAAAATTGTCAAAGCCAACCACTTTATTTTGGCAACAGAGGAAGAAAACTTCATAGATATAGCTCGTCCCTTTGCTGGGAGTAAAATACAGCGGCAAAAATTAATTAACTAACAATTTATTGCCCTTCCACGACCAAACTGGTGCCTGAGACAGTTGCCTCATACTGTCCTATGGTAGAGCTGGCTGCAGAAAGGGCTATTTTTTATCTGTGCCATCCCTTCCATAGTTCAGCATTGCAGTTACTTAATCCATAGTTTTACCTGGACTGGAGCACTGGATGAGAGATGAGTCACATCTCCAATTCTGGCAGCTGCACGGGGGTCACTTGAGCTGATCAGGACAGGGGCACTAATCTCCATGGAATGCCTGTTATTCATGGCCTGGGAAGATTTGTGTGTCATGCTCAGGGCCGTGAAAGAGTGGCGCTTCTTGGCATTCTTCTTGCCGTCAACGTGCCGCTGAATGGCACTGACTGCTCCAGCATTGTTCAGGGTACAGCACTGGACCGTGTTTATTGCCAGGTTAGTGTCTGCTGGCAAGGGGACATCGCTGCCAGCAGCTAGATTGGTCTTGTCCGTCTCAATAAGTTGTTTAGCTGATTCGTTGAGCTAAATGAAGAAATAAAAAGAAGAAGGGGTGAGGTGGGAATTCAGAGCTGTTAAGTCTGTATAGTCTTAGAGTTCAAATTCTTTACTCAGATTACAGCTATTACATCTTCACATTTACAAACTCTAGAAATGAATAACAGAAGCCCATCTTCCTAATACTGAACATGAAACCATTATTGTACAATGAGAAGCTTATCTTTTGTCACAATACTAAGGCATACAGCCGGCAGTAGTGCAAAAAATTGGTCAAGTATCCTGGAGTGTGTCCACTCTGCCCGGTTAGAGCGCTATGACTGCAACATTAACTGGCATGACAATACGATGTTGATATAGCAGGATCATAAAACTATAGTTTGTAATGTGAAAGGATCCCTGTAGGTGGCATAACTATAAGTTGCCACGAAGGAAGGAAGGCATTTGACAAATAAAGCATCATAGCCAGCAGATTACTGCTGTTCAAGATTGTAAAAGGTGAAAAAGCTAGCATCAAGAAAATCTGGGACTTGGTGTTAGATTTGCAGCCATGGGACAACTCCAGTAACTGCGTGGAACAGTGGTTCCCAACTTTTTTTTTAACCAGGGACCACTTTGACCAGGGACTACTCTCCAAGATTAGTACCAAAAGGGTTACAAATCAGTTTCTGGTCAACTTTAGATTCAGTTTGGGGTGCTGATACAGAAAATTGCATTGGATAGACCATATCAGCTCTAGTTTCTGATACAGAACATATGCCATGGTCAGCGACAGGAAAGGAGTGGCAGACGGCGTCCAAGAAGTGGAAATAAAATAAAATAAAATAAATGAAGAGGAGGGAGGCTTGCGGACCAGATTTTTATCCTCATGGCCCACTGGTGGCCCATGGCCCACAGGTTAAGAACCACTGATACAGAAGGAATATACTCCTCTTATGAGCAACTGCATGAAAGTAATCCATGCAACTCTCTTATGGATAACTCAGCAAGTCAACCCACAGTGCAGAGTCTGAACAAAATTCTTTGGGATTACAATAAGAGCATATCAAACAAATGCTATAATGATGTCCAGTGCAGAATGTGGAGAACTTTCCAGCTTTCTCATTATGCCTGTAGACATGTTTGCTGGGGAATTCTGCAAAATTTAGTCCAAAAAAGGTAATGTTTCCAAGCTCTGACACTGGCAATTCAGCATTCTGCTGAGGCTCAATACTGCATCTATCAATTGTTCATTCAAAATGGAACGATGCCTATAGACACAAGGCTGACACCGTGGGTCACTGCAGATCATGGGTAACCTTTTGCAATTTAGATTGTTCAGTAGCTTCACAGGAACTAGATTTATACTCATGAAAACCCTTTAAAATAATGATGGAGGATCTTCCAGACTCTGATACTGAACAGACACATTTCATAAGAAGACTCTAGTAATTATATGTAGATGGAAGTACTGAATAGTAACTCTCCAAGCAAGCCACAGTCAGCTTTATTAGAACCCATTGAACATTCTGTTTTGGCAAAAAAGTGAAAAAACGAAACTATGGATTTTTCCACCAGAGGTTTATTGTGATCCCTATGTGCTCCTTTGCTTAGTTTGGGAGCTATTTTTTTGGCTTGGGGTGTTTGTATCATGCTTTGTCTTGCCATAAAATTTGTGGTTGTCATAATTTGAAACAAAAGTGAAGATTGATTTTACCCAAAGTCTCAATTTTCTTAGAAGATGTGTTATGACTGCATCTACATTAACAATATCTGAGGCAGGGGATAAAGAAAATTTATGTGTGTAATTTACTATTTCCTTTTTCATAAGTGAAACCTTCTAAAATAGGCAGTGAAAAACCTAATATTTACAAATACAAAAATTCAAATCCTTCAGCTTTGTTTTAGCAGAAGAGAGAGGAAAAATCATATAGCTGGAATCAGAATAAATATAAATATAAAAACATCTGAATATAAGAAAGAAAACAAAGCATTCCTTCATGATCCAACTCAATTAGGAAATGAAAAATTTGAGACTTGGCACGTCCAAAAAAGGATTCAGCAGTGCCATGTTGAGAAATTTTGCCTTCCAAAAAAGTGGCTTATATGTAGAGACTTCATATAAGTTTATTCAAACTCTGCTTTAAAAATGTACCCAGAAATGAAATAGGAATGGGAGTAAATCTTAATTAAGTAAAACAGTTTTGATTAGCCACTCATAACATTGCAGTACACAAGAAAAGTGCTTAAAAATGAAAATAATTAGAATTGCACGCCAATATATGGTTGCCCAGTGGGAGACAAAGGTAATCCGGAAAGTAGAAAATGACATTGATTTTCATATGTCCACAGTATTCATATTTTAGCACATAAGTGCTTCTTTATGCTGCATTATTCCATTTGAATCACTCCAGTCAGTCTTGTGAATTTATTGTTGATGTTCTCTATCACAGCTTTGCTGCATTTAAACTTCAAGTGTGTAATTTGCACTGGATTTTTGTCCACCTTGATGGCAAGTTTGATTTGGGGGGGGGGGGGGGGGCTGAGTCTGAGTGAAAGAGGGTCTACCTTAGCAAACCTTTTGTATTGTTACCCCAATACCCCCATGCATATGGGATATATTGAGCATGGTGATCAGATCATGATATGAATAAACATAACAGTTTAAATAATGTACCAGTAAGGCCTTTTCAAACCCCCCCCCCCCCGGCTACATGCCTGGTGTCAGGAGTGACTTGAGAAACTGCAAGTCGCTTCTGATGTGAGAGAATTGGCTATCTGCAAGGACGTTGCCCAGGAGGTGCCCAGATGTTTTCCCATCCTGAGGGAGGCTTCTCTCATGTCTCCGCATGAGAAGCTGGAGTTGACAGACAGAAGCTCACCCCACTCCCCGGATTCGAACTATTGACCTTCAGTCAGCAGTCCTGCCGACACAAGGGTTTAACCCATTGTGCCACCGGTGATGTGATAATATTCTTAGTTGTCAATGCTTTCAAGAGTTTCAGAGGTGGTCCGCTTTTGCCACTTTCCTCTGCTTGGCCTCTGCTGCTTTCTTCTTATAGCTTACCCTTCTTGAAATACTCTGACTGTTCTAGCTTGCACCAGAGTCCCAGGTAAGGCATGTCACTGAACTAAAGAAACCCATGAAAGTAGAATGAGAGGAAGAAGCCCAGGAAGAGAAATCTTGCTTGATGCTCCTAAACAATTTCTATAATTCTTATGGCTCTCTTTCACTACTAAGGAACAAGACAAGAAAGTCTCAAGCATGTGGCAGAAAGAAGAAAGCAGAAGATAATCTGAGGCCACAGAGAGGAATGTTGTTATTTAGATGAGTGAGAATTGCATCCTTTATTAACAAATACTTGCACTGTTTTATAAAAGCTCTATACCAGACTTTCACTTTGGACATTATAACAACTGGTCTTATTTTTTTAAAATATTTTTAAAAGACAGAAACTAATATGTACACAACAATGAAGTTGCTGAAATGAGCATATTCATGTGATACCTCACTCATGAGGTCAGGGAATGAACTTGAGCAATGCAACGAAAGAAAGGAGAATGACTTCTTCAGCCTTTTTAAAAGAAACATTTATTATTCAAGATGCTTTAAACAAGAATTCCTTGATCTGATGCCATTTTGGATTTCAACATCCATGATAATCTTTTATACCAACAGGACCAATGGGAACATGATCCAATGTATGTGGGGCACCAGGTTGTGTATGGCGGCTCTACGGCACTGTAATCTTTACTGTAGGGTTGGGGAAGATTTGCTTCCCCATATGTTTTGACTTTTAAATCTCACATCCCCTTACTATTAGTTGTACTGTGTAAGAACTTTAGGAGTTTTAAATTAAAATATTAGAAGGATCAAAATACCCATACTGGGAGATCCCAACCTTTTTGGCTGTCCAATTGCTGATAGCCTTATAAATTCTTTTTTAAAAATAAATATTACCAAGCAATGAGAGCTGGAGAAAAGTTCTGTGGGTACTGTAGACTTCTAAAAAAATGATAAATGGGTCCCAGAGCAAGCCAAGCCTGAATTTTCCCTAGAAACCACAATAACTAAACTGAGACTGTTGTATATTGGACATAATGTGATAAGACATGATTACTAGTAAGTGGAAACACAATAATGCTTGGTAAAGTAGAAGGCAATAAGAAAAGAGAAATATTGCATTCCAAGCAGCAGACTCAGGGTGTAAAATTTAATTCTATGGCTCAATGCTATGGAATCATGAGAGTTGTAGTTTTACAGGTCTTTAGCTTTCATACAAATTTCTCAGCATTGAGCCATGACAGTTAAAGTGGTGTCAAGCTGCATTCATTCTACAGTATATATGCACTGTCTGTCAAAAGAGTCTTGTCCCTGAGTCTGGAAGACCTTAGCAGTGCTGTTGATAACAGGGTGGTTTGGAGGTCTCTCATTCTGAGAGTCAACGTAAGTTGAAATCAATGAAACTTCTCCATTAACTGCCCTTTGAAATTAAAAACAACACCTTTGAAGTAAAAACAAAAGGGCAGCTCATGTCAGATGATATCATACATTTTGTCTATTCCAGCATTTTGTTCACTAGATGGCCAACTACGAACATCCCTTATTCACATGTCTCATTGGGCTCCCTTATTCAATGAAGCAAATTGGACACTGCTCCATAACAGAAAGGTTACAATACATGAGTTAAGAGGGGACAAAATAATACATAATATAAAACTAGGTTGCCCTATCTCCCTAGGGGATATTGCCAAAACTGAATGGAGCTGTGGCAATAACACATGCTTTATGTATGATGTTAAAATAAAACGTAATATTTTTGAATGTGAATTATTTTTCCTTACTATTTTATCTTACCTTCCATGTTGAATTTCCAGTTCAGTAAAGAAAATTTGCTAGCATAGTGATTTGAATGTTGGACCAGACTCTGGGATAGCAGGGTTCAGATCTCAGCTCAGACCCGGAAACCCACTGGTTGACCTTAGGCAATTACAGTCTTTCAGTTGAAGAATAAGGCAATGACAAATCTCCACTGAATAAATCTTGC